TAATGCCAACAGAGCTGACTACTTCCTCTTTGGTGAGCTTCTATAAAAAGCTAAAAGTCATAGAATCCATCTGAAAAATTCTCCAAACCTGTGCAGATCCCTTGAGGAAAAACATTTTGGATTGGACACTGCGGTTCAGGATCATGGAAGGGATAATTCAAGGGCTTTTGTACCTTCACAAGTACTCGAGATTGAAAGTGATACACAGAGACATCAAAGCCAGCAACATTTTACTGGACGAGGATATGAATCCCAAAATATCCGATTTTGGAATGGCTCGGATATTTGGAGCGCAAGAATCCAGAGCTAACACCAAAAGAGTTGCTGGCACATTGTAAGTTAAGACCAGAAACAATGATTCTCTAATCATTCATAGGCATCAATTTCTGACTAATTCTCTTGTGTTGATATTATGTGCAGTGGATATATGTCTCCGGAGTACTTCAGAGAAGGACTGTTCTCGGCGAAATCAGATGTATTTAGCTTCGGAGTTCTAATGTTGGAAATCATTTGTGGAAGGAAGAACAATAGCTTCCACCATGACTCAGAAGGACCTCTGAATCTCATAGTTCATGTAAAAAAGCTTAACTTCTACTTCTCTCATTTGCTAACATTCTCAGCTTGCTTGCTTTGTCCTTGGATCTCTGAAACTCTGTTTTTTCAGGTGTGGAGTCTGTTCAAAGATAACCGCGTTCACGAGGTTGTAGATCCATCTTTGGGAGATTCTGCAGTTGAGAACCCTCAAGTGTTGAGATGCGTTCAAGTTGCTCTGTTGTGTGTACAACAAAACGCAGAAGATAGACCAAGTATGTTAGATGTTGTGTCGATGATATACGGCGACGGCAACAACGCTTTTTCTTTGCCTAACGAGCCAGCTTTCTATGATGGTCCTCGGAGAAGCTCGCCGGAGATTGATGTTGAGCCACCTGAGCTGGAAAATGTATCGGCAAATAGAGTTACCATCACAGTGATGGAAGCAAGATGAGCTAGTGAATTAAAAGAAAACTTATTGTGTACGTGAATCTCATTGACACATTGACTTCTAGTTGGATAATGCTGACTGACCTTATGAGACTCAAAGTTATCGTTTTCTCGTTATGTCGCTTGTGAATTTGAATACAAAATTAGACTTTCCCACGTGGACACGCTTCTGTGGCGCGGAGTGATCGTGCGGATTTTACCTACCACTATATATATGATCGTGCAGAACAAGAATCAAATATCTAAAACTCGAAGAAACAGAGAGTTTTTTCTTGTGTTTTGGGGATTAAGGAAGCTATTTCTGTTCTCGTCGAGTTTCAGGTCTAGCCCTAACCCTAAAATTTAGCCATGTCGTCCAAGCAAGGTTATTATTCTCTTCCTCCTCTCATCTTTGTTATATCTGTTCCAATCAATCGTTTTGCTTTCACAATTTTTGTTGATATGTGGCTTCATTCCTGATTTGATCTCACAGATTCTATTAATCTTGTGTGCTTCTTAACGCATCGAAAATTTAAAAATCGTGTTTTTATTTTATTTTACATGGTTCCTTGTAAAACGTCATCGAAATCCAAATGTCATATGATTCTTAATTGATAGGTCTCTTCTTTTGCTGTTTCAGGAGGGAAATTGAAGCCTTTGAAGCAGCCTAAGTCTGGTAAGAAGGAGTACGATGAGGTATGATCTTTTTTACAAACTCACTAATAACCCTTTTTTTTTTTTTTTTTGGGCAAATCACCCTTTTATCTTGGATCGTTTTAATGGTTTTACTCTGTTTCAAATGTAGCACGATATGGAGTTAATGCAGAAAAAGAAGGATGAAGAGAAGGTAGTTTCCTTAACCTTAGTTTTGATTCATTGAACCATTTTACGAGAAACTGATTGCTGGTGATCTTGTTTACGTGATGAAAACAGGCACTTAAAGAACTCAGGGCCAAGGCTTCACAAAAGGGATCATTCGGAGGCACAGGACTTAAGAAGAGTGGAAAGAAATAAGACTAATCTGCTATGTACTCTCAAGTCTCATATCCTATGTATGCTTGGCAATGTACCATGACTAGTTATAACCATTGAAATCATGTTGATGTTGTAGAAGTAAATATAAATCTTAAGACTTGCACCTTCTTCAAAATTCTGCAACTTTCGATAAGGTTTTAGTTGTTGCAAGCTTTGACTAAACCAAAAGGATCATATGCACCAGCATTAACAAAAAACAACCGATATTTTAAGAGTCAAACCAAAAAAGATTACGACTTTAGAAGTCCCAAAAAGTTTGCAACTTGAACCTTCCCATCAAACACTTCCTTGGCTAAAATCCTGAATCCTGTCACCACGAACATTTAAGCTCTCCATTGCATTCTCCAACCCAGAACTCATCTCAGCCAACACATGAGGATCATTGTAATGTTGAACAGCTTGAACAATGCTCCTAAGCTTCTTAAACGGATCAGGACCATCAAAAACCTCAGAACCAACGAAAACTCCATCACAACCAAGCTGCATCATCAAAGCTGCATCAGCAGGAGTCGTGATCCCACCTGATGCGAACTGAACCACCGGAACCCTACCCATCTGCTTAGTCTGAGCCACAAGATCATACGGTGCTGATATCTTCTTAGCAAATGTAAACACCTCATCATCATCCATGTTGTTCAAGACTCTAACTTCACCCATCAATGACCTAACGTTCTTCACAGTCTCTGCAATATTACCTGTTGCGGTTAAATCTCCTTGGATCCTGATCATAGCAGCACCTTCTCTGATTCTCCTCAAAGCTTCTCCTGTATCACGGCAACCACAAATGAACGGAGATCGGAAATTGTGTTTGTTGATGAAATGATCTTCGTCCGCTACAGAGATAATCTCGCTCTCGTCAATGTAATCAACCGCAAGAGATTCCAAGATCTGAGCCTCAACGAAATGACCAACGCGAGCTCGTCCCATCACAGGTACAGACACAGCTCGTTTCACCTCTTTGATAAGAACCGGATCCGGCATACGACGAACACCACCGCGAGATCGAACCGGATCTGAGACGATAACAGAACATGCGCCTGCGGATTCAGCGATCTTAGCCTGGTTAACAGAAGAAACCTCAACAATGGCGCCGCCACGAAGTACTTGAGCTAATCCAACCTTAACAGAGAACGGATGGTTTTTCTTCGCGTCGGTGATGGCTGCGCCGCTGTAGAGAGTAACAGCTCCTTGTTCTTGATCAGTCATAGCTTGATCCGCCATTTTTAGGTTGTTAGAAACAGAAGAGCTTTTCGCCGGAGAAATGTTGTTTGTTAGTAACACGATCTGAGACGAGAACGAGAAAGCTGCGTGGAAAGTGAGGAGAATTATAGAGAGAATGGA